GAGGAAGCAGGCTCCCGGCTGAGCAGAGAGCCCGATGCGGGGCTCGATCCCAGAACCCTGGGATCACGACCTGAGCTGAAGGCAGAGGCTTAAACCACTGAGCCACCCAGGTGCCCCCGGGGAAAACATTTTTAAAGGTTCCCTACAAATATCTTGTTTCTACCTCTTCAGGTGACACGTTCTCAACAGCCGTGTGTCGACCACCCGTGGAAACGGCCCACGCGGTCTGTCCGCCAAAGCCCGCCGTTCCCACCAGCTGTGGTGTTGGTGTTGGGAAACTTTGGAACCTAGGTAACATGAAACTTTGGTTTTTCCTGGGTTTACTGAACGTCCAATGAGTTCAGTTCTAAGGCTCGTCACTCGAAAGTCTTAAGACTGAAAACGCTTCTAATTAAACCCACAACCTTGAATATGTCTTACCACCCAATATTTTCCCAGATTGTGTGAACTTGAAATTCATCTGGAACTAGTTTCTGTTTCATTGTTGAGACCGTGGACAGCTGCTAAATGACGGAAGTTCTCAACTTCCTTTGCAGCCAGGCCACAAGCCTTGCACAGAGGAGTCCGGCAAGAACCCCTCATGTTCCCGTACACACCTCCGCCTCCTACGGACCACCATGGGGCTTGGTAGCTTCTGTTTAAACATAACCATTGGAATCAACGGAAATTACGGGCGCCGATGGCTTCTCGGCGTTGGTGGGCGAGACGGTGAGGCTCTTGTCTGTCCGCGGACACGCTCCTAGGAAGGCTGGGTCTGGGAGGGGGGCGGAGAACCTCTCTGCAGATTTTGATTTTTTTTTTTAAGATTTTTATTTATTTGACAGATCACAAGCAAGCAGAGAGGCAGGCAGAGAGAGAGGAGGAAGCAGGCTCCCCGCTGAGCAGAGAGCCCAAATGTGGGGCTCGATCCCAGGACCCTGGGATCATGACCTGAGCCGAAGGCAGAGGCTTTAACCCACTGAGCCACCCAGGCGCCCCAGATTTCGATTTCTAAAAAGGCGTCTTCCCGCCTTTGATTTCCACTCTCGGGTGGGGCCGTGCGCACGTCAGAAACACGTAAGACTCGTGCTCCACGGGACAGAACACGTGTGTGTTTCACGGTTCTGAGCCTACGGGTGTAACTGCTTTTCAGACTCTCCGTCCCTGCCTCCAGGCAGTGCTGTCCTGTGTCCCTGTGTCTGTACCAACCGCACACCCGGAG